ATCATCCTTAAATTAAAAGTTATAAATGGTTTCTTATATAAATCGAAGCATGGTGACGTTTTGTGTAATTCTACTTGGTCTGAATTCCATTCAGCCAACAATAGCTCGTTTCTTTGTTTCAGAAACTTATGATCAGCCTGACCTCCAGGCTCTGATGAAGCCGGTCCACACCAGTAGCACAGCCCTCCACCCTGTTCTTTCACCAAGGCTTCCTCCAAGAAGTCATCTTTAACTGATTCCACTCTGTTTATTCACTTTTATATTATTTCTACATTCCATTTGCATGCAAGATGTTCAATCTAAAATATGTGGCAGCACATATTTTACAGAGTATTACTGTATGAATATTTTCAACAATTTCACTCTGATCTGCTAAAGAGAGTGATTACGTATTTGATGACTTGGGTTTCTTCCTCTATCACCACCAGAGAATTCTCTCTAGTAAAATTACTCCTTTTATGGTTTTTTTTTGTTGTTGTTGTTATTGCTGTTGTTGTTTTTTAATGTGGAGGAAATCAGGAAGAGAAGAGCAGTATGATTGTGAGTTATGACCAGAGGCAGATTTATGGAGAAGTTTAAGTAGAAGGGACACCAGAGAAACTGTGGTAAAAGGACATATGAAAGTGGAAAGTGAATTTTAAGGGTATGCTGTGAACTGTATATTTTTTCCTCAAAAATCAAGAAATATGAGTAACAACATAAGCAATATTGAAATTACTTTATGAGGTGCCTATGACTAAATGCTTATTGCAGTACACATGCAGACAACTCCTTGGAAATGAAATGACTGAAAATGGCAGCCACAGTGCAGTTCTTTGTCATACTGATTCTAAAAACAGGGCAGCCAGGGTGAAAATACCAAATAAAAAGCTGTAACAAGGTGTCATCTGAGTCTTTAGGATTGCTGACCTGATGTCTCAGTGAATCTGGGCAGCCTTCTGGCTCTAGCAGGGCCTGCACTCACTCCTGCTTCACTGCAGGAAAGGAGAGAGCAAATGCCAGAAATGCTAATGACAGGAGTCAACTAATTCTGAAGTCCTGCTTTTCCTTGAGTATCCTTCATTCTGCAACTTTGGCTTCAAAGCATTTTGCCACAGAAATCTTTCATTCAATTTAAACTGGTCACGCCTGTACCAATGTTCATTGTTGGAGGAGAAAAGCAAAGCTCTGACCACAGAGAGCTACCACAACCCTAGGTTAAAGCTTTCTACTACCACAGCAGACCTTGCTGTACCAGACACATGACTGGCACTTCATGGGGGTGGAACACCCAGTCTGGTGGGGTCACCTAGTTGGGAATATACATTAACTTCATTTTATAGAGAAAAAACAGGATTTTAGAGGACAAGAACCATGTCAGGGTGGACACTGAGCTGACCAGCCTCTTACTTGGAAACCAGCTGTGGAAACATGGAATGAGAAGGCAAATCCTGACTCCCTGACAGTGTAAAGTTCACCTCCCATACTCAAGGGGTGTGGTTAAAAACTTACAGCTGGACTAGGTGCTTGGCTTTGGTTTTATTTGTAATTAGGGATCATTGTTGTTGTTGTTTTTAATTTGGGAGGTGTGAGGGAAAGGGATTTAGAAAGAGGAAGGACATTTTCATAAATGTAGTAGGTGGTGAAATGAGAGGTTGCTGTAACCTGGGTGTGAGTCTGGCAGCCAGGGAAGGGGCTAGATGTAAGGAACTGACCTGAAGGAGAGAGGAGACCTGGTGACAGGAGAGAGGTTGCTCTGAGCAGAGAAAGGAGGGTAGGGCAGAGTAGGTAAGGAAGGCGGGACAGAAAAGGGCGGTGCAGATTTCTGGTTTAGGCCTGGACAGTTGTGAGAAGGCAGCGCTCATGTTGGTGATAACATCATGACATGACACAAAGGGTTGATGGAGGGAGAAAGGGGACTCCTGTAGAAGAAACTGTTTTTGGATACTGCAGGTCACTACTCTTCTTGCCACTGATGATTAGTTACAGTGAACAAGGGGCCACGTAGTGCAGGTTTGGGCCAGACATCAATACAAAGAAGCATTTCCTGACAAATCACCCCTCTTGGCAAGGGCAATGCAAGCCCTGGTGTTGAGGGGCTTATTTCTGATAGGGGCACACAGATAACAGGGGCTGTAGTAACTGCTCTGAACACTTGAGACTGGCTTGGCTGAGTCTGCCTGTGCATATTTAAAAAATAGTAAATGAGTTACAATAATGGAGCAACATTGTCAGACTTTATTAGTAGGGGTAAAGTTAAATTTACTAGTTCTTTCTTTTGTCAGTGTGTTAAAATTTGCATCTTTGCAGTTCTCACATTATAGCATCTATTACTATAGTTAGTTGTCCAGAGTCAGATGATCAGTAGGAAAAAAATATGCCACATAATAGGAAACTATTCTAGGTTTTATTTTCTTTTGTATTTTATCTTACATGTAATTCCTTGGAGAGTGCAAATAATATGTTTTGAATGCTCCCACTTGGGTAATACTTTCAGTCTGATTTAATCAGCTAAAAATAAAATCTGATTGAGACCTTTTCAAATCAATAACAATAACCTAATTTTAAATTGGATCATAGCCCCCATAGAGATGTACTCCAGGTACCACCATTCTCATAAAAGGAAATAATAAAAGGAAAATATAAAGAGGAAATGGCAAATAAAATTAAAACCTCATTCTACTTTATTATTTTAGTTTAATTCTAAGGTGGAAAGAATAACTTTATATTGATATTCAAGGCATTTTTTTTTAATTTTAAGAAGGCATAATTTACCCTGCTTTTATTATTATCAATGTTTTTATTACTACAGAGAGATTGCGTTGATTCATAACAGAAACTTCGTAACCTGGACAATGTTCTGGATTCTGTATTTTTATTATAAAAGGGAACTTCTGGGGCCTTCCCTGGTGGCACAGCGGTTGAGCGCTGGGCTGAGAGGCTGCCTGCAGCCTCTGCAGCGCAGGTTCGTTCCCCGGCCACCGGCGAGAAAAAAAGAAAGAAAAAATGGAACTTCTGATGATTTGCTGTGTTAATGGACAATTGCCTTATTCTTTATTTTTTTTAAAAAACATTTATTTATTTATTTATTTATACAAGCACTGAGTACAGTCAGAAGTGCGGGAGGATGAGAGGATTCACCAGAGCCAGAGTGGAGAACAGAATAGGCAGAGTGACGAAATACACTGCTGAGGGGAGCAGTGGGCTCAACAGGAGAGGTCTGTGCACCATATGGGACCCTCGCCGGTGGCCGGGGATCGAACTGGTGCTGCAGAGGCTGCGGGCAGCTTCACAGCCCAGCGCTCAACCCTGTGCCACCAGGGGAGACCCGACAATTGCCTTATTAAAACATTTTGTATATCTAGTTTCCTACTATTTGTTAAATTAGTACTTTTTCAATTACTGATTTTTAAAAATGTAAATTATTTCACATTAAAATATGTCATATGACCTGTTATATATAATTTCAATGTCTCCAGACTTCTAAAATTATAAATCACTATAGCATTTTAACATATTTGATTTATGTGTCCTGTGAATTAAAATTGAAATCATTTGCAAACTCAATTAAGCTTTGTCTTGATAAATTTTTACTTTTTGACAAATTATATTACATTTGTACATAATGATATATATCACTCATTTGATATATTTGCAAGATGTAAATATTCACCCTTTCAATTTTGCTTTCTGCAATTTTTCCAAAGCATGAGTTTGTTGTTCCAAGAGGTAGAAAGAAGAGTAGATTTTTCTCAAGTTTGCACTGGAACATTTAAAATGTGTCATTTTTCTAAAGTGCTCAACATTTAGTTATTGTGAATAGATCCTTTGCAAGCATTTGTTTACTTTAGAATACTGCTACTTGACCAAGTTTGAACACACCTTCATTCAATTATGACATTTTTTTAATTTTCAGAGCTGATTTTATATCTCTCTCATTTAAAGTGTGTCTTCATATTGCTGATAGAATATTATATTGTTTGCTATTTGAGTTAAATATACAGAAAATATTCTGTATCACAGAAATCTTAAAAAACTGCCTTGAAAATAATAGCACCATGGCTATACTTATACACACATTTCCCCTTTTCTCTTTGACTCATGCAGAATGAAGAACAGTCATGAGATTTCTTATTATCTTAATACTTATTTCCTTGATTTTGAAAAGAGAAAAATTTGCAAGTTGTGCTCCTGCCTGTGCTATTATGAGCTTACACTCTATTTTGACCTTAAATTAGACCTTGTTTCTAAATCTGAATTAGTTAGAATCTAAAGGAAGTACATGGGTTGGGGCATACAGTCAACTATTATGTTAACATTAATTACTAATCCAAAGTTTTACCTTTTTTGTTCTTACTGGAAGTCCATGTTTGGTACCACTAGCTAGAGCATTTCTTTACCCTCAAGTCAAGCCCACCCATGTTCTTTATGATAAATGATGCTATTTGTAGAATAATGGAAAGATTGTCATACTATGGCAAATGGTGTCAGCTGAGGAGAATAGAGTTGATAATGAACTTTATGTTGGGTCTTGACAGCTGGGCAGAGAGGTTTCAGCTCATGCAACAAGAAAGCAGAGCAATTGCAGCCAGAGTCAAAGATCATGGAATTAATGTGATAAATATGGAATATCCCAAACATTCTGAGACCATGAACACAGAATTTTAAAGGACTGTGTCAAACAAAGTCAAAGCAGAAGACAGGATCAGAAAAAATTGGAGACATGAAAGAGCCATGGAGTGACAGTTAAGGGACATTAGTAATAAGGCCCAGAGTCCAGACATTTATGGATGAAGATGAACCAAACTTTCCCTGGTAATTATAGGGGTGATCCTCTGAGCTGGTTAAGTGGTTGTTTCCCATTGCTCTAGAACTCAATACTCATAATGTTTAAACATCTCATTTAAATCAATGTTTCTCTTTTACAGAGCACATTTCTTATGGAAGGAAATGCAACAGAACAATGAACAAAGCCACTGAATTGCTTCACCCTGAGAAACAGGAAGACAAAAATTACTCACGTTCCACAAAGTAAGAGCTGGCATCAATCTTCCATATGATCTGACCCCGATGAGAACCATTGACTCCACGGTTCTTATAGTCCAGAAAGTTTTCTGACAAGACTTCATCTAAAGAAAGCAGAGTAGAGAAACCTATTAGCCAACAGCATATTCAAGAGGAAAAACTAAAGAGTCAATAACATCAATGGTACCTCCAACTCAACAGAAAAAGAACCAAGTATCATAAAATCATAGAACTAGAAGTATACTCAGCTACCATCTGGACCAGCCCCCTTTTAATGTAGGAATTACCTTCCTACTCTGCAAAAATGCTTGGTAAGTAATAATCTAGCTGGTTCTTGAACACTTGCAGAAAAAGAGAAACAATTGCTTCTATGGCAGTTCATTTCACTTTTGTGTAGCTCTAACATGCATCAAGTTATAATGTGAAAATCTTCCTTCTAAAGCTTTTATGAGCTGGTTTCTATCAGGGTCTGAAGAAGAGACAAAAAGAAAATATCCAATCCAATTTGGGTTCCAGTCCTCAGGCACCCACCCTATATCATCTCCTCTTTCTAGATACCTATCATTATTCTGTGCATGAAACTCACCCATGAATTTATCCATCTTTCATGTTCATTTGCATTTATTTGTTCATTCAACAGAAACTTACCGAGATCCAACCATCTGTCATCCAGGGGCCACAGTGTGGGCAAAACCATGGACATTTTTTAATTAAAGCTTACCAACAGCTGAGAAGACAGACTTTAAACATGAAAAAATAGATGTATGATTACAACTTGTGATAAGCAATATGAAGGGCAAGAACAGGACACTCTGACAAGAATTTACGAGGGAGGCCAAAAGAGGATCATGCGAACAAGACGAAAAAGTCTCACGGGTGGAGATTAGGAGCAGGTGTGGAGAGCAGAGTAAGTCCTCAATGTGAGGTACCAGGTCCAAAGTGGGGAAGAGTCCACTGCATTGAGAAGATCTAGTAGAGGATTATGCTCTTTTCCTCTTCTGCTCTTCCACTGCTCATCACATTGCAACCTGTCTTAAAGCCAGGACCAGGAGACGAATGCAGCATTCTTGGAAAGGATAGTGTGTGAATAAGCCAAATGTGGCCTTTTTGGTTCTATACCCCATGCTTTCAGTGCAGACAAAGATAAGGATCTGAATTTTAGCTTGATCAGAATTCTGTGTAGCACTTTTAGATTCTACCTCACTGGAAAGTAACCATTTATACTAGATGGATCTTAATATGCAAGAAAATCATAATTGGAGAGTTCAAACCACCACAGTGGCTGGAGTAAAAAACAGAACTCAGGGTCTCCAGAGGGCAGACCCAGAGTAGATCAGGGCCACCCTTTTCACTAATAAGATAGCCTGACACCTTACATTTAACTGTACTGGGACTAAAAGAGGTGATGAGATGAAAAGAAGTCAGGGCCCAGTTCTCATGTCCTTTAGCGTCATTTGCCAATAGTTTTGCTTCTACAGTTTTAAGTCCTCCTCTGCAAAGTTGGGGGTAGCAATAACTAAGACCTTACAGAAAAGGATTATGACCTGCTATGTTGTTGGACATTTTTAGTTGCCTCTTCTTTGTCAAAAATGATGAGGCAAGGGCTTCCCTGGTGGTGAAAGGGATTGAATGCAGCACTGTGAAGCTGTCCACAGCCTCCTCAGTGAGAGTTCAATCCCTGGTCAGGGAGCTGATATGTAGGCCCATATCAGTGGTCCGACATGGCACAGCAGACCTCTCCTGAATCGCCCACTGCTCCCCTCAGCAGTATACTTCAGTCGATCTGCCTGTTCGGCTCCCCACTCTGTCTCTGGTGAATCCTCTCACCTCCCATACCTCTGGCCTATACCCCAGTTCTTGTAATCATAAATAAATAAATCTTTAAAAAAATGATCAGTCAAAACACCATCTTTGCCTCATTAGCAGCAGAACTGTTTGTATCCCTTGGTAAATCACTTGTTTATAAAATTTGACTTTCTTTATATTCCAGTATGGGCTCACAGTCTGTTTGGGTTACTAAGATGATTGCATAATACATCTTTAACATAATTGCCTCATTTCTGCAAAAAAGACATAATATTTTCCTAGCTTCCGGGTCTTCATTACAAATATAACAAGTCACACACACAGATAGAAATTTGCCTCATTATTGCAACTCTCCAAGGAGTGATATTAACCTGATCTCCAAGAAGTGAAATTTACCACTCTGATCACCAGAATATTAACTATAATGTCATGATCAAGTGTCCATATACAATAATACCAATAATACCTAGGCCCTTGCCTGATCATCCTTTTGATAAATGCATATTGAGGATTGTGCCAAATCCTGGGGGTATAGACATGATCTATATTCTCAGGCAGTTTCTAATAGAGTTGGGGATTTTTTTAAAGTGACAATTACATTAGAATATAATAAGTATAGCAATGAGTTAAATATGAAGGAACCACATGTGTATAAGGATGGAGATGAATAGGTAGGAAGATCAAGAAAAGACAGATGAGAATGGCAAAGTAATACACATTTAAAAGGCAGCAAAGATACATTTTGCTGTACATGTTTAAACAACACTTTTTTTTAAACAACACATTTTAAGAGATTACCAGTTGGTCTTTATAAGTATCCCAGTCCCTTATGAAACCAGAGCCCTGCAACACAATCCATGGGATAAGACCTGGTCTTTCCAGCAGCTGCTTAAGCAGTGGGAGCTGTTGGAGCAGCAGTGGCCATTTTCTGCCTGCCTCCTGAGTTGCTGCCTTGGGCAGCTCCCCCCACATTCCTTTTTCTCCTTTCCCCGCCCCTCTCCCTCAACAACAAAATCTGGGTTTGACCTCTGAACCCTGAAGACTCCCTAGGCAAGTTTCCTTTGTGCCTCTGGGCAGCCCCCAGGTTGCCCTGCAGTGGGAGGTTGCAAGATTGCTACATGTAGGCCCATATCAGTGGTCCAGGCTGCATAACCATCCTGGTGCTAGCCAAGTTTGAGTTCCAGAGCAACCATCCTTCCCCTCTTCAGGGCTCTAGCACCTGGCCCAAGAAACTTGTGGAAAGTGCTGGTGGAAATAGGTGGTGGGCACTTAACTGCCTGCCACCAGTGGCCCTACTGAGGCTCAGGCTGCAGACAGAGGCTAGTAGTGATGGTGGGCAGCAGTGGTTTTCTTGCAACATTACACCAGGGTATGCAGCCCCATTGGGGCTACAGTGGCAAGGTTATTCTGTGCTGCCAGCTCTGGCATAGGAGGCAGCAACTAGCCCCACAGTCCCTGGTTCAGGGCTGTAGGGAGGAACATGGAGTCCCACTTAACCAGCTCCAGAACTGTAGCTATGCAGGTAGAAAAGAGGTCATGGAGTCCCAGGTCAACATGGTTGGCTCCCAGCAGAGCCTACCCTGCAGTGCTGCTATAAGCACCCTACCGACATTTATTCACCCAGCTCAGCTGAAGGCTTTGCAGATGCAGAGTGCCTCTGGCCCCACTGAGGCCAGCTCTAGTTATGATTGTTCAATCCCAACAGGCCATGAACCTTCTCTGAGGTCAGGACATGTTGGTTCTGTGCAGGCATCAAGTTCTCCTTTTTGTATTTGGTGCCAGGATCATAGAATGGAGTGTTCAGGTGTGAGCTAAATGAACCAATCAATTGTTTTCAATCAGCTCATTAGTTAACTATTTAAATACAAAATCAAGAATGGACTGATTGGTCCTAAATGGCCCAACTGATCACTTAGTATTGAAAATGATCCTATCAGGTTTGTAGTGTGAAGGACCCTGAAAGAGTACATAAGGTAGGAAAAGAACCAGCTTGAAGGATCCTGTTCCTGGACTCCAAAGAAATAAGAGAAGCCAAAGAGTTTTGCAGAGACCTGGCTGTTCCACCTGCCTCTGGCCCTGAGATTAACTGAAAGGCAAGACACTGGTAGCTACCAATAGCAGTTACATGAAATTAGACCACTATTTTAATCCTTCTTTGCCTTTAATTTCTCACTTTAAAATGGAGCTACTATTACCACTCTCAAAAGTTTGTTGTGAGGATTAAATAGACTAATACAGGTGATCTTAGAACAGTAGTAAGAATCTAATAAGCTGTTATTTTTGTATATAGTCTAGGTAAATCAGGACCCTTGATTACAAAGCTCCATGTTACTTACAGCACAAAACCATTGAAAACCAGTAACATCAGAAACAAAGAAATAGAAAGATGTTCCTTACTTATGTATTGGAATAATAAACATTGTTAAAATGGTTATCTTATATGAAAATGATATAAAGATTCAATGCAACCCCTAGCAAAATTTCAATGGCATTCTTCAAGAAAATAGAACAATTATTACTAAAATTTATATGGAACACCAAAGACCCAAATTAGCGAAAGATCCCAATTAGCAAGACTCCAATTAGCAAATAACCCTAATTAGCCAAAAACAAAGAATGGGGGTACCATACTCCCAGATTTCAAACTATTCTCTACAACTATAGCAATCAAAACAATATTGTATTGGCGTAAATACAGACACACAAATCAATGGGATAGAATTAAGAATGCAGAAATAAACAAACATGAAACAAAGGAGACAAAAGTATACAATAGAGAAAGGAAAGTATCTTCAACAAATGGTGTTGGGAAAACTGGACAGTCGTAGCAAAGCAAATGAAAATAGACCACTATCTCACACAATACACAAAAATTAACTCAAAATTAAAGAAAGGAAACTATGAAATAAATGAAAGAAAACACTCTGAAATATTGGGTTCAGGGAAGTCTTTGGATACTCCAATAGCAAGGCAAACAAAAGCAAATATAAACAAATAGAGCTATAACTAACTGAAATGCTTCTATATAGAAAGAGAAACTATCATTAAAGACACACTACCAAATGGAAAATCCTTTTGTACATCATACAAGATATAAAAAGAAAAAACAATGCTACAAAAATAAAACAACCCAATCAAAAATAAGCAGAAAAGTTAAATAGACTCTTTGCTAAAGAAAACATACAATTGGCCAATAGGCAAATACAAAATACATACATTTGTCATCAGGAAAATTTGCAATTCAAAACCACAATGCACAGACCTGTGAGATAGTACAGATAGTACAGAGTGAAGATGC